CCTTACAGATGCAGAGTGAGATTGACACCTGGAAAGAGGGGATGGGGATCATGACCGGACCCAGAGTAGCATCTAGGGGTCTTGGCTCTCCCCATTAGTTAATTGCAGAAGGTCCCTAGTGTATGTCTCAGTGGTTGCCTTGGCCCTCTGAAGACTCCTGGGTTCTCAGGTGGCAGGCTTCCCTATGGAAGAAAAGTGCTGCCTAATGTATGCAGTGTGGTATTGAAGAGCCATGGAGGCAGTTCTAGGGCTGAACCTCCTGCTGCTTGTTAGTATTGAGACCTTGAGTAAGCAAGTCACTTAGCCTTTCAGCTGTTGTATTTCCCTGCTTTACTGTCTGTCTTTTTGAAGCATTACTGGAATGAAAGCAGAAGTTAGCATTTAGCCTCTTTTGGTCTGGAATATCCTGGCTGATTAATAACAAGACTACGGTAACTGTTGGGTACTTTTGATAGGAAATAGGTCCAGGCTTTTTTTTTTTTTCCTTCTACGAGGACTCTGCCATGATCTTCAGACTACCAGCAACTCCTATTTTTTGTTTTGTTTTAAGAGACAGGATCTTGCTCTGTCACTGAGCCTGGAGTACAGTGGTATGATCATAGCTCACTGTAACCTTAAACTCCTGGCTTCAGGCAATCCTCCCACCTCAGTGTCCTGAGTAGCTAGGACTATAAGCATGCACCACCGTGCCCCAGCTAATTTTTTTGTTTGTTTAAAGAGAGGAGCTTCCCAGATAATTTTTTTAATGTCTGTAGAGAGGAATGTTGCCCAGGCTAGTCTTAAACTCCTAGCTTCAAATGATCCCCCTGCCTTGGCCTCTCAAAGTGCTGGGATTACAGGCATGAACCATTCCTCCTCACTCCCCCTCCCCAACTCTTTTATAGATGCTTTTTGCAGGGTGGGACTTATAGAGTTCTCTTCTTAAAATAAGAGTATTATACTTAAGATGTTAGGCCAGGCGCAGTGGCTCACGCCTGTGATCCCAACACTTTGGGAAGCCGAGGCAGGCAGATGGCCAGAAGTTTGAGACAAGCCTGAGCAACATAGCAAAACTTCGTTGCTACAAAAAATTAGCAGGGCATGGTGGTGCAGGCCTATAGTCCCAACAGCTCAGAATGCTGAGGTAAAAGGATCACCTGAGCCCAGGAGGTCAAGGCCATTGTGACCCGTGATCATGCTGCTGCATGCCAGTGTGACCCCAACTCAAAAAAGATGTTACATGCTTAAGTGTTAACACCTGGTAGTCTCACTTAGTCCTTATCTTCCCATCCTAAAAACAACTGAACATTACAGAGTTTTAAGTACACTTGGCACTTTAGTGTAAAACAAAGCTAATTACAGTAGGTTACCTGCCCTCAGAGCTCAGTCTCACCAGAGAATTACTATAATACAGTATGATAAGTACTCTGAGAGATAATACAAAGATTATAGAGAAGGTATAGGGCAAAAATGAGTAGGCAGGGCAGGCTTCCTAGAGGAGGTAACATTTGAACTTTGCCTGGAAGAATGAGCCACAACCAACCTGTAGGCAGGTGGAAACTGCCCTCATGCCAGGTTTCTCACGAATACTAAACCCTGACTGAAAGTGGTGGTACAGATCCCTGGGCAAAGGCAGAGCCAAATTAATCTGGTTCCATTTTTAAGCAATAAGAGACTTGCAGAGACTATCTTTAAAAAAAACAAACAAACAACTTTCCCATTAGAAAAAGAACCCACTACACTATAGAAAACTTGAAGTTCTTAGGTGGGGGGAACCATAATTCTTCCCCCACTCTGTTGGTGTTCTGGCTTGTTATTAAGGCTTTTTCCTCCTCTAGCTCCCATAGAAGAGGGGCTGGTTTTTTTTTTGACTTGAAGTCTCACTCTGTCACCCAGACTGGAGTGCAGTGGCCACTCCTGGCCACCGCAGCCTCGACCTGCTGGGCTCCGGAGATCCTTCCGCCTCAGCCTTCCAAGTAGCTTGAATTACAGGCATGCGCTACCACGCCCAGCTGATTTTTTGATTTATTGTAGAGATGAGGTCTTGCTGCCCAGGTGGGTCTCGAACCCGCGGGCTCAGGCAATCCGCTCACCTCAGCCTCCCAAAGGCGCAGGATTACAGCCTCCCAAAGACTGAGCCACCGAGCCCGACTAGGGACTGTTTTATACTTGCAAGAGCAATGCCTGCAGAAGAAGTCTGCTTTTAAAGTCATCTGTGGCTCTTTTGCATGTTGTGCTGATGACTGAAGCCACAGAGTGAGACTGGAGTGGTTTGTTTATCACTGTTTTTGTTCTGGTTTTGCTTTCAGGGATAGTCGAGTGCAATGGAGGAGTGGCCGAAGAGGATGAGGTGGAGGTCATCCTTACACAGGAGCCTGCTGCTGATCAGGAAGTGCCAAGGGATGCCGTCTTGCCTGAGCAATCCCCAGGAGAATTTGACTTTAATGAGTTCTTTAACCTTGATAAGGTGCCATGCTTGGCTTCGGTGAGTGAAGCAGCACATTTTTAAACTATATGGTTAAATATGACCTGAGTTAAGGATACTTCTTTCAAAATGTTGTTTTGCTAGATGGTTTGGGGCTTTTTTGGCTTTTATTCTTAAATATTTGAATTTTTGTTGGCTTTATTTTGAGAGACTGTATAACTGGCGATTAGTATCACACTGACCTGAATTCCTTGTGGGAGGCTGCCTGGTTAGGTGACAGCTTTTGTGATATAATCATTTCAGAATAACGAAAAGGAACTTTTGATACTGTCAGTGTTGCCATTAAACTCTGGACTTAAAGTAGAAACAGTAAACCATCCTTAAATCTTCACTTGCTATCTACCCTTACTCCTATCTCTCCAGCATTTATGAATTAGTATCTACTCCTTAATCATAACTGTTCCTTATTTGATTTCTACATGAGCAGACACTACTGGGCACAACAGAGCAAGCAGCATTGGCTGTCTCCTTTGTCATTTGTCTGCTCTCCTACACTCACAGGATTGCCACCAAGAATAAGTGAGCAAGCACTGCTTAACACTGGTAGATACAGGGCCACTGGTGAGTTTTAGGGCAGTACTTCTTGCATTCTCTATTATGAGGGGCCAAGCTTTATTTCTGCTTCATTGAGGACCAGTATTTTAGTATAAAGTACAAATGTCACAGCAATACCAAACTATAAAAGTTTCTAAGAATTCTCACTTTCTGAACTTATTTCAATACAGACTAGCATGGTCCATACTTGTCTAGAGTACTGTTCAGGAGCATGTGGAGTGTGGCTCCAAATCAATGGTGGCAATTGTTTGCATGGTTTTGTTCCTAAAGTTCTAACAGCAATTTTAATTGTAAGTCTCCTAGCTAGATATCTCACTTACAAGTCTTTTAGTCAGTAGTCCTTTGGCTCACATCAAGATGTGACCTTAATTTCTCTTTTTTTGCTTTGTTGTTGTTGTTGTTGTTGTTTTTGAGTTAGAGTCTCACTCCGTCGTCCAGACTGGAGTGCAGTGGTCGCTCCCAGCCACCGCAGCCTCGACCTGCTGGGCTCCGGCGATCCTTCCACCTCAGCCTTCCAAGTAGCCGGAATTACAGGCATGCGCCACCACGCCCGGCTGATTTTTTGATTTATTGTAGAGATGAGGTCTCGCTGCCCAGGTGGGTCTCGAACCCGCAGGCTCAGGCAATCCACTCACCTCAGCCTCCCAAAGGCGCGGGATTACAGGCTGAGCCACAGAGCCCAGCCATGACCTTAATTTCTTTGAACTAAAACGGAATGATTCTTTCAAATTCTTAACTTCTGAGGTACAGTAGTATTATTTTATTTTTGCATCACCTATTTAGGGACTTTTTTTTTTGCATTAAACAGATGGAATTTTTTTTTTTTTTTTTTTTGAGTTGGAGTCTCACTCTGTTACCTATGCTGGAGTGCAGTGGCACACTCATAGCCACCACAGCCTCAGCCTTCCAAGTAGCTGGAACTACAGGTGTGCACTATCATACCTGGCTATTTTTTTATTTATTGTAGAGATGAGGTCTTGCCAAGTTGTCCAGGCTGTTCTCGAACCCATGGGCTCATCTTCCCAAAGTGCTGGGATTACAGGCTTGAGCCACTGTGCCCGGCCCCAGATGGAAGTCTTATTGCAGAAAATTTTCACAGCAGAAGGTCAAAATTTAGAGACCCATAATTGGCTCCAGATGTGAGTACCAGCAAAACTTACCCATGTGCCTAGGCAAAGAAGCATTCACTCTTTAATCCAAACTAAGTGCTAAAACTAAACCTTTTTTTTTTTTAAATAACAAGTAACATGTATAGAGTAATGATTGTTTCAGGCTCTACATGCAGTAAGCCATTTAATCCTCACAAATCCCTTATAAGTTAGGTTACTACTATTTCCCTTTTATAGATGAGAAAACAGAATTTAAATAACTTGCCGGAGGTCACAAAGCTAGTAAGTGGTGGAAACTGACTTTAGATTTATGCAGTAAAGAGTTTTTGCTCTTAATTCCCCACAACTATACGACTTCTGAAGCATAAAAGGTAGGAATAGAGACTGACCACCATTTTATCTTTTGGCCCTCACCCCCAACCACTTGGCTAATGCTGAGCAGTTGGAACGAGGCCAAGAAGTCTAACTCCGTGTTTTTTGTGGAAGTACTGCTCACTAAGGTATATATTCTATAATTGATCCACTTAAATGCAAAACTGGTATCAGTAAAAACAGATGCTCTATGCTGTATAGCCAAGTGAATTCTTTTTTTTTGAGTTGGAGTCTCACTCTGTCGCCCAGGCTGGAGTGCAGTGGCACACTCACGGCCACCCCAGCGTCAACCTGCTGGGGTACAGTGATCCTTCCGCCTCAGCCTTCCAAGTAGCAAGAACTACAGGCATGTGCTACCACACCCTGCTACGTTTTGATTTATTGTAGAGACGAGGTCTCGCCAAGTTGCCCAGGCTGGTCTCGAACACGCAGGCTTAGGCAATCCACTCACTTCGGCCTCCCAAAGTGCTGGGATTACAGACTGAGCCACTGAGCCCAGCCTAGCCAAGTGAATTCTAATGCACAATGCTCAGAAAATGACCAGTTGGGAAAAGTAAGAAAAACTATCCTGGATTTTTGAATATCAATAGACAAATATGTAAAGTGCTTAAAACAGTACTTGATACTTAGCAGTCTTTACTAATGTTCAGCAGTAATAGATATAAACAAAGCTTTAGAACTAAACTAAGAATACTCTTTACCTTATATAACCTGACCGCATACTAGGTTACAAGGAAATCTCAAATAATGCCTTCATTCATTTCATTCAGAAATACTTATCCAGCAATTTTAGGTTCTAGACGCTATTCTAGGAACTAAGGCTATCATAGAAAACAAAACAGTGTTCCTGTCCTCCTAGAGCTTATTTTTGAGCAGAGGAAACACAATGAGTAATAAAAAAATATATGTACACATATAAGCATATGTATACATATGTAGGGTATATTCACTGGCATTACAGTACCTTAGAAACTGACAGCCACAAAAATCTATACAAACTGAAAATGTAAATCGCATACGCAAATAATTTATAAACAAGTAATTAAAAATTTAAATATGATACAACTCTTACTACAGTGCATGATACATAACAGGTACTTAAATATATTGAATGAAGAAAAATAAAATCAAATTGGAAATTCTGAACTATTTAGAATAATTAACAGGAACATAACATATAGAAATTTCTATAAGCCAGGCTCAGCGGCTCAGCCTGTAATCCCGCGCCTTTGGGAGGCTGAGGTGAGAGGATTGCCTGAGCCCGCGGGTTCAAGACCCGTCTGGGCAACTTGGCGAGACCTCATCTCTACAATAAATCAAAAAAATCAGCCGGGCATGGTAGCGCATGCCTGTAATTCTGGCTACTCAGAAGGCTGAGGCGGAAGGATCGCCGAAGTCCAGTAGGTCGAGGCTGCGGTGGCCAGGAGCGGCCACTTCACTCCAGTCTGGGCGACAGAGTGAGACTCCAACTCAAAGAAAAAAGAAATTTCTATAAAAATGGAAAGTAATAATAGAAATGAAGCACTGATCATTACAACCAAATAATTGTCAAAGAGCAAAAATATTTCACAATATCTGTTTGATCACCGGAGTGATGATATGAATCCTGTACCAAGGTATAGGAGGGGAGGCCCTGCTGTTAGTGTGTCCCATTTGTGCTTTGTGGTGAAAATGACTGACCAGGTAAACTCTTAGAATTCTTTTTGAGTTTCAAATGCTTTAGTTTCTTGATATAAGTATGTCCAGTAAATGTGTATAAAAATAACTTGGTTTCTACTCTTTAGCTGTGCTTTAGCTATAATAAAACTTGGCTTTTCCACCAGAAGCAAAGTTTGTCACTGAACAAAATGTGGAAATGACTTCCTCAGCACTTATATTAATATCTTTAGAAAATACCTGGGTACTTTATATTCTTGTCTTTTGCTTTTTCGTGTTCTTCTTGTGTATCTTCTGACTTTTTCCCTATACAATATGATCAAAGGAAATAAAAGGAGTTAAAATGCAAAACCGCCATTTTTGCTCTTTGTAAAATTTCAGACTCTTTTCAATATTGAGACATTTTAAATAACTATAGTTTTTAGTTATTTTATAAATCCTGTTTATCATTAAATAGTTGCATTTGGATACAGTCTCCAATTTTCCACAGTGAAACGTAACTCCTAATGCTTCCCTTATACTTTAATTAATGCAGAATTATTACACTTGAAAGTCAGCAGTCAGGCGCAGTTCTCACGCCTGTAATCCCAGCACTTTGGAAGGTAGAGGTAAGAAGATTGCCTGAATTCAGGGGTTCGAGACCAGCCTGGGCAACTTGGTGAGACCTTGTCTCTGCAATAAATCAAAAAATTAGCTGGGTTTAGTGGCACATGCCTGTGGTTCCAGCTACTTGGAAGGCTGAGGCGGAGGGATTACCTAAGCCCAGCAGGTGGAGGCTATGGTGGCTGAGCAGCCTGGGCAACAGAGAGACTCTGACTCAAAAAAAAAAAAAAAAAAAAAAGTCAGCATTATTTAAGGTGTGAGAGTCTATAAGTGATATGTGACTCAACCTCTGAAAATAGAAGTTCTAGAAACAATAGTTGAATTAGGGCCTTAAAATCTCTTCAAGAGAGACATTTTGTAGCTTAGTATGGGTATGGATTATGAAAACATTCTTCCTAATAAGAACGAAGACTAAATCTAACCTTTTCCTGCTGAACTTTGATTGGAAATTGTGGATTTCAGACTTCAAATAAAACAAAGTCACTAATTCTCTCATCCATCTACCAGTTTTTGGAAAAACATGTTTTTCATTTATCAGTGGTACTTAAGTGAAAGTATATGCCTTAGTTTTTAAGAAAGATTGGCAGTAGAAGTTATGAAATAGGGTCAAATAAATTATTTCTGATCATAGTGCATTATTTATTTATTTTTGCTGATTTTTTTATTTTCTGAGTTGGGGTTTCACCGTCACCCAGGCTGGAGTACAGTGGCACGATCATAGCTCACTGCAGCCTTGACCTCCTAGATTCAAGTGTCTTTTTTGTTTTGTTTTGTTTTTTGTAGAGATGAGGTCTCACTATGTTCCCTAGGGTAGTCTTGAACTCCTTGACATTCTCTTGCCTTGGCCTCCTAATGTGCTAGGATTACAGGCGTGAGCTACCATGCCCAGCCCACACTGCAATATTTAATTACCCTTAATCAGTTGAAACTGTGGAGGTCACATTTGAAAAACAACAAGTACTTGAAAACTCCCCATTAAACCCAAACATAAATTAGAGATGAGCTAAGATTTCGTTTTCACAGTCTGACACTTTTGTCTGAACTTTAACTTGGACTTATGATCATTATGAGCTCTGCTTTTTTAGATTTTGGCTTCTCAAATTGCCAGAATTGGATCTCATAATGTTCATTATTACCTTTAGGCCACCATGCTTGAAGCAAGAGTTTCTTTCTCGTACTTGACGTTTTGTCTGAGTCCACTCATCACTCGTCAGCTTGGTATTAAAATGCTTCACTCTTGCGCTGGCTTTTATTCTGAAACTGTCCTCTAAGAACATTCGGCAGTACATCGATTTTCTGATGAGGCAAATATAGGTAACTAAATAGAGGCTTTGCTTTATGTTCTTGAAAAGTAGATGGTTGATTATACAAAAGTTTGAGTTATTCAGAAATCACCAGGAAGGGGAAGAAAACTAAAGGTGTTTAAAATCCTAAGTTCTGAGAGTTTTTACCTTCATGTCAGCAGCATCAAAGGAAACTTCAAAGTAAGTGACCCTTTCATAAAATTTGAAGCTTCTTATCTTTTTTCAACTAAAAACTATTATTTTAGCTCCTATTGTCTTTCTCTTTAGATGATAGAAGATGTTTTGGGAGAAGGGTCAGTCTCTGCCAGTCGGTTCAGTCGGTGGTTCTCTAACCCAAGCCGATCAGGAAGCCGGTCCAGCAGTCTTGGATCAACACCACATGAAGAATTAGAGAGACTTGCAGGTAAAATGGCTTCAGAGTCTGGCTTTGAAAGTAGACTTGCACTTTCTTTGATGTAGTTCATCCTGTCTTTGTTAGTCAGGAGTCCATTAGGGTCAAAGGGTCTCTGGACAACTGAAAAGCCTTCAATCTGTGTCCTTTTAATACTGTTGAAGATAAGTTTATGTGCTTTATTGGAACCAATAAGTTATGAACATTTATTTGCAATGTCAGGTTTGGAGCAAGCCATCCTCTCTCCTGGACAGAACTCGGGGAATTATTTTGCTCCTATACCATTGGAAGACCATGCTGAAAATAAAGTGGATATTTTAGAAATGCTACAGAAAGCAAAAGTGGATTTAAAACCCCTTCTTTCCAGCCTTTCTGCAAATAAAGAAAAACTTAAAGAGAGCTGTAAGTGTTTATGAGAATCTGCTTTAGATATCTGATAAAGTTTGGATGTTAAGTTTTTTTGGTTTGTTTTGTTTTTGAGTCAGTCTCACTCTGTCACCCAGGCTGTAGTGCAGTGGCATGATCATGACTCACCACAGCCTTGACCTCCTGGGCTCGGGTGATACTTCCACCTCAGCCTCCTAAGTAGCTGGGACTACAGGTGTATGCCACAATGCCCAGCTAATTGTTTGGTTTTTTTTTTTGTAGAGATGAGGTCTTGCTGTGCTGCTTAGTGGCCCAAGACCTTTCCGGGTTCTTACATAGGGCCTGATTGTAATACTCCAATGAATGTTTTAGTCCTTGTGAGCATAACTTGCCAATTCCTCCCAACTTTGACCTCTTCTGCCATGTTCTTGCTTAGGCTAAGTCCTCAACATAAAAAACTTAGTGATATAATAACCACAATGCAGGTAGCAATCTTGCTGATATTGGGCTGTTTGGGATGCCTGTTCCACAAGTAACAAGTCTCCAGAAGACTCATAAGATATCCGTCTACAGGATGTACAGCAGGATCTTGTCAAGTTTTAAAGCATAGCACCTTGTCGTTGTGGTTTCCCAGTTTCTAGCATCAACACTTTAGTTTATGCCATCTCTAAGGACACAATTATAGCCTTATTCCCACTAGGCAACTATGATTTTCAGTACCTTCAGTTTGTCTATTTTTGGTGTCAGCCTTTTCTGATAGTCTTACCTCAATTATGAAATAAATTATTTTCACCTTAACCATCATGATAGCCAATGAAAATTCCTACCAAATATCCCTCTGCTTGGTTTAACCCAGACTTTCTCAACTTTTCAGCACATTCAGGTGTTGTGCTTTCAGTGGAAGAGGTAGAGGCAGGGCTCAAGGGCTTAAAGGTGGACCAGCAAGTGAAGAGTTCAACTCCCTTTATGGCAGAACACCTAGAGGAGACCCTGAGTGCTGTAACCAACAATCGACAACTTAAGAAAGATGGAGACATGACTGCCTTCAATAAGCTAGTGAGCACCATGAAGGCAAGTGGGACTTTGCCTTCTCAACCTAAAGTCAGTGTAAGTATTTCACACAAACCCCAGTGTTTTCTCCTTTTCCTTCACGTTTCACTGTCCACCACAATAAATGGATTTTTAAAAAGGTATTCTGAGTAAGTTGGAAATTCTTTAGTAGTCATTTGTTCTTTGGTGTTTTTGTTTGTTCCTTAATTACCAATATGCTATTTGTTACTAGAAAAAACAGATTTGTGGTTAATATCTGTATTGTGGATGACATGTAAAGATTAAAAGATTCAACCTTATGGAATTCCTGTATAACTTTCTTAAGTTATAAAACTATCTTTTTGGACGAACTCCAAAGAAAATTTTCTGGTTCTCCAGCTACTGAAGTTCATGTAACTAACCATATTTTTATAGTAAAATCTGTGTTTTCACACCTTTTAATTACCCTCAGATACCTAAGATTACTTGCTTTCTTGATTAGGCAGCTGGCAATTATACAAATCCTTTGTAAAGCATCTAAGATGGTTTTTGTTTTTTTTTACAGTTTGCATTCTATCAGTTTACTAATGGGAAAAGCTGTGGCTCTAAATTTTTTAAAAACTCTTAGGTATGAAGTTAGGTTACAAAGTAACACTGCATATCACCTTGTAAATGCAGATGTGTGGGATATACTGGTCTTTGTCATAACAACTTTTAGAGAGTGGTTCTCAGCCATGGCCTATATGTTAATAATATTGCTATCCCTTGATGATACAAAGTCATGGGGAAGCAGGGTAAATCTGAATAATAAAACCATAAACATAGACATTTTTAGTTGCTGAGTCACAGCAAATTTACCAAATTGCCTCCTTTTCTTCTGACTCCTGCTTGTCTGGGAACTACAAGTTAGCAAGGTGCAAAGAGTAATAACTGTTTGATCCGTTATGACCTGCACTATTGGGGAAAGCAGCTGATCTTTAGCATTCCTTATCTGACCACTAGTGATAGAGATTTCAACCTGCTCAGACAGACGTGCCATTACTCCTGACCTTATTGCCAAGACTGACCTACCCTCCAAAGGAGGCATCTCAGATAGGTGGATTTGTTTCTTTGTATCTGACTATACCATACCAGTTATAGTGGAATAGTCTTATAAAATGCTTTAGAGTTATTTTCATACAAAGAACTATTAGATACAAATGTTTTCAAATGAGGACCAGACTGAAAGATTACAGACTATCCTGTTCTCAGTTCTGTTACCTCTGTGTTTTGGTGATTGGGTGCTGACTACAGTTGTGTGGGTTCAATCTCATAAGTAGCTTTTTTCTTTAGTATGAGTGACTAAAGAAATGGAAGTTGGGAAAGTCAGCAATTTACCTGATGTTTTTCAACATTTTATTTCCAACATATTCTAGGATTTGTTATTGATACAACTGACCCAAAGTTGTAAGGGTAATGATACTGAGGTTTCAGTGCTGTGAAATAGATCTCATTTCAGCTGACAGAATGAGCCTCAAAAACCTGTTAAAGGGATGGATGGTATAATTCAAGTAGTCAGGCAAAGGCTAAGACAAACTCAACCTAACCTAGAAAAGAAAACAACTAGGAAAGCAATAGAATAAATATACTAAGTATTATCCCAATATATTGCTTGATTTGCATGTTGTTTAAGTCATGGTCAATTTTTTAAATTGATGTCTACTGCTCTGTGTGTAATGAATACTATTTCTCCCTTTATTTAGGTTCAGTCATATTGGCTCATCCACAGAATAAGACATGTTGGTTCAATTTAAACTCCATTTTAAATTGAATTGTAGATGCTTTCCTCCAATATAGTAAACATGTAGTATGAAGTTGCCTATTTGTTTTTTGTTAGATGGACGTAAATGACTCTTGAGATTGCTTATCTGCATTTAGTCCCAATTCCAAAACCAACAGTAAAACATTGGGGTATCTTTGGACTATCTGTCACACCTGAAGACACTGTTATGGACTTTTTTTTTTTTTGAGTCCGAGTTTCACTTTGTCACCCAGCCGGAGTGCAGTGGCACACTCGTGACCACTGCAGCCTCGACCTGCTGGGTTTAGGTGATTCTTTCACCTCAGCCTTCCAAGTAGCTGAACTACAGGCACGAACCACTACACCCAGTTAATTTTTTTTAAATTATTGTAGAAATGAGATCTCACCGTGTTGTCCAGGCTAGTCTCGAACCCGTGGACTTAGGCAATTCTCTTGCCTCAGCCTCTTGGGATTACAGGTGTGAGCCATTGCGCCTGGCTGCTGTGGAGTTTGACAGCCCCATCTAATGAAAGGGAAAGTATACCAGAGAAAGCATTTCAGGCAGAGCTAAATGGGCATAGGGATGTCCTGAAACGCAGAAGGGAAATGCAAGTTGAATGTGCAAATTGCAACTAATGGCTAGGTGGCACACACCTAGAGTCCCAGCTACTTAGGAGGCTAAGGTGGGAGGATCACTTGAGCCTAGGAACTTGAGGCCAGCCTGGGCAATCTAGAAGACCTCCATTTCAAAAAAACATAACCACTGTTGAATTAAAAGATAGAGGATTTGAATTTTGACCTGCATATGAGACCTTTTTTGAACAGCTTGCTAAAAATAATAAAGTGTAAATTTCTTGAAACACAAAACTCTGAAATATATTTTGAGTCAAAGTGTTACTCTGTCGCCCAGGCTGGGGTGCAGTGGCATGGTCACAGTCACTACAGCCTTGTCCTGCTAGGCTCATACAATCTTCCCACCTCAGCCATCCAAGTAGCTAGAACCACAGGCACACTCCACCATGGCTGGCTAATTTTTTGGTTTATTATAAAGACGACATCTTGCGAAGTTGCCCAGGCTAGTCTTGAACCCCTGGGCTCAGGCAATCCTCTCGTCTCTGCCTACCAAAGTATTGCGATTACAGGCGTGAGTCACCGTGACTGGCCTGAAATATAACAATTATGGCCAAACTTGCATGTTGTTTACTAGGTTTTTAAGCCACATGTAGTCAACAAATCTTAAGATAATGGATAGCGGCCAGGCTCGGTGACTCAGCCTGTAATCCCAGCACTTTGGGAGGCCAAGACGAGTGGATTGCCTGAGCCTGCGGGTTCGAGACCAGCCTGGGCAACTTGACAAGACCTCATCTCTACAATAAAATAAAAAATTAGCTGGGCGTGATTGCGTGTGCCTGTAGTTCCAGCTACTTGGAAGGCTGAGGTGGAAGGATCGCTGGAGCCCAGCAGGTCGACACTGGAGTGGCCATGAGTGTGCCACTGCACTCCAGCCTGGGCAACGGAGTAAGACTCCAACTCAAAAAAAAAAAAAAAAAAAAAAGATAATGGGTGGGTAGCTAGGATTGTCTCAAAAATTAAAATCTATAAATTATCAAAATTTCTTGTGGTTTCTTCCTGAATAAGCACTCCCCTATTTCACCATTTTCCTTCTCCTTTTGGTCAGTGTTAGAAACAGGGAAATTGACCAGGGTTAACATAGAAGGGCTCTCTGAGTGGACTCTGCATGTACACACAGTCTTTTCATTCCCAGATCTTTGGGACTTGTGTAATGAGAATGGAACAAGTTGCTCTATGTTTTCTGTGAATTGAACATCATTCTGCTGTTATGTATCAACTCCCTAGGCGGAATGTTTTATGCTTTCTTGTGGTCTCCAATCAATCTGTACGTTAAGTATGTTAATTCAACAAGATTAAAACCAGTTTTCCTTTTATTTTTTTTAAGCGAAACCTTGAAAGCCAATTGATGTCTTCTGCTGAGATTCCAAGCCAGCCTGTCCCTAAAAACATCCTACAGGTACTTCACAATCTTATACCGAGTCCTCAGAGTCTTGAATAGTAGTCCTCTGAACTGTTTTTGTTCAAAGTGGTCCAGCCTTAGAGAATGATCTGTGTTGCTTGGCAGTCAAAGACATGATATTGCTGCCTGACATCGTTCTGTACTGCTGGTAATATCAATGGGGGCGAGAGGTTGGCTAAAAAAAGTTGACAAAATAAGCATTGATTTCCGGTTTGCAGGTTTGCGATTTTTGTGAAACTTAAAAGTGTCTAACCTGTATTTGTAGTGCTAACTTGAAGCAAATATTACAAGCTGAATGAACATTCAGAGAAGTACCTTGCATGTATACGTGCCAAAGTCTACAATGTCACATAAGGGAGATTCATCCTGTAGTTTCTAAAAGTTAATCTATAATCCACTTCTGACTAGAAGGAAGAAGTAAATTTGTTTTTCTGCCTTTAGGAACTTCTGGGTCAACCTGTGCATAGACCTGCTTCTTCTAATCTTCTGAGTGGCCTTATGGGAAGCTTGGAGCCTACAACATCTTTACTGGGCCAACGAGCACCATCTCCTCCCTTGTCACAGGTGTTTCAAACTCGAGCAGCCTCAGCAGACTACCTTCGCCCAAGAATACCATCACCAGTTGGTAAATACACTTAAGCATAGATCTGATCCACCCTCTTCCCCCTGTCCCACATAGAACTCTAGAATTCTAGAACCAGCAGTCTTTTTCATAGACATTCTTAAAGAGTTTAAAAAGACATAATGTGAATTTATCATACTTTGGGGGTTGGGGAAGCAAACATGGAAGATAGCTCAATATCCAGCTGCCCTTCCAGATGAATGTATTTGTGTTAAATATATTTTTTCCTTGAAACGAATCTTCATCTCTTTAGTGTTCTTCCTTACTTGGGGAATTCAATCCAAAAAAGTTTAATTTGGCTTCTTTAGTTTTTCCTTGATAGAGTAGAAGTCAGCATAGTGGCTCTCTATCAGGCTATTGAATTTGATAGACAATCAGCCTTGAAGTCTTGCTAATTCAGAGTGTGACTGAAGAACTTCTAGACACCTCTCCTTAAAAAGTGTTTACACAGAATGCCATAGTGTTCCTGTCACCTTCCACCACTTTAGGTTGCTGGCTTCTCTAACTCCTGCCAGTCAAAACTTGAGGGGCAGTTTTAGAAATCCACCGCCCACAATCAGGAAGACAAAATGAAAAGAGTATGAACCTCAGAGCACCAGTCTCTGCTTTCATGCCAGCTGGTTAGCACTAATGGGCCAAACTCCTGACTAGAAAAGCTCTTCTCTCCCCAGACAGAAGTCTTAGCTCTGAAAGAGGCAAACTGACAGCTTGGTGAGGAACATGGATACAACAGCAATTCAGGCCATTAAGTGGCCTGACTGAGGTCCATAGCCCACTGTGGGAGCACGGAGGGAGAGGGACATCTGCCAGTCCAAGGAGTCAGCACTTTCCAAAAGAGATAGTGTTCAGTAAGGAGCCACATGCATTAGTAATCATGCCTCCCTGATTCATGTGTACCATTTTGACATTCATTGCTACTATACCTTTCCTAACAGGTTTCACATCAGGACCACAGCAACTACTTGGAGATCCATTCCAAGGCATGCGCAAGCCCATGAGCCCTGTCACAGCCCAGGTCAGGCCATGCGCTTTCTCAGACTTAATTTGTTGCTTGATTTTCACCCTGTTTTTGCTGTGGAATGGAGAGTTTAACTGCTGTAATTCTTAGAAGTGATTTTGAACTATATTTCAGTCTCAGTAAAGGGTAGAAAATTGCTGAATAATTAAAAGTAATACTTAAAGAGTTAAGATCCTGTTGAGTGGATGGTAGCACAGTTTAATCCTGTTTGCAGTACCTAATTTTTCTCAGCTGCTGCTTAAACATACCTATCCTAAGGGGAGGAGACCTTTGTAGAAAGTACACTGACTGTCCTCATTATTCTGCTGACTCTCCCTTTCCACTTCTGTTTAGCAGATGAGCCAGCTAGAGTTGCAACAGGCAGCTTTGGAGGGACTGGCCTTGCCACATGACCTTGCTGTACAGGCAGCAAACTTCTACCAGCCTGGTTTTGGCAAGCCACAGGTGGATAGAACCAGAGATGGATTCAGAAACAGGTAAATAATAAATCCTACCCATGTGGGGATTTGCAGATAATAGTAATACTGCAGATAATTTGTTAATCTCAGTTAAATTCTGTTGCACATGCTGTGATATGTTATATAACATATGGTAGAAAGTCCAGCCCACTACAGATGTTTATCAGTAGAAGGCATAACACGATTACATTCTGCAGGCATAGAGTTTTCCTCCTATATGGTTTTATTTATAAATAGTAATATGGAAGGAGTGCTGTTTGCCTAATTTATATCACAAGATTATTACTAATAAATAATTTTTTAAAAAATATGTGGGGGCTGGGCGTGATGGCTCACGCCTGTAATCCCAGCACTTTGGAAGGCCAAGGTGAAAGAATTGCCTGGGCAAAGATCACCTGAGCCCAGCAGGTTGCGGTGGTGACTGGGAGTGTGCCACTGCCCTCCAGCCTGGGTGACAGAGTGAGACTCTGACTCAAAAAAAATAGATTAATAAAAATTAAAAAGATGTGGGGTATAATTCAGGGTGAGGTAAATAAGTGGTCATCATACAGGTGGTTTGGGCCTCCCCTTTGTCCCCACTTCTCCTGGTTTAAGATTGGGTACACTAGCCGGGCTCGGTGGCTCAGCCTGTAATCCCACGCCTTTGGGAGGCTGAGGTGAGTGGATTGCCTGAGCCCGCAGGTTCAAGACCCGCCTGGGCAACTTGGCGAGACCTCATCTCTACAATAAATCAAAAAATTAGCCGGGCGTGGTAGCACGCGCCTGTGATCCCAGCTACTTGGAAGGCTGAGGCAGAAGGATTGCTGGAGCCCAGCAGGCGAGGCTGCAGTGGCCAGGAGCGGCCACTGCACTCCAGTCTGGGCGACAGAGTGAGACTCCAACTCAAAAATAAAAGATTGGGTACACTTATTGATGTTATATTCCCTCCCCACACTCCCCTGGCAGTGTCCCACTACTGCCAATTCCTTTCTTACAGTATTATGATAAATGTTCAGGGTCTGCTTATGAATGAGTGCATGTAGTACTCAGATCTTTGTTTCTGTGATATAGATTACTGAGTATTATAGATTCTAAATCCATCCAAGCTGCTGATTGTTATGAACAAATAATTTTCACCAGCTGTAATAAGTAGTAAAAGGAAATGAATCATAAGTTGAAAAGAAAAGGGAAAGGGGAAGCAATATTGCACTTTTTATTACAAAATAAAATGGGCACAGAAAACGATATAAAATAAATGTGTAGTTTATAAGGCAAACTCTGTTGTTAACTACTCAGAAGCCCTTCATGTGCCAGTAATAACCCTTTTCTCCATTTTCCAGCCTTTGAAAGTAATCACTACCTTATATTTTGAGTTTTAGCACCAAAATATATATCACTGAACCACTATAGTTAGGTCCTGTCCATAAAATACTTCATAATTAAGCATTTATGTTTTGATGTGTTCTTAAAATTACCATATCAGTGCCCCTCGGTATTTGTCTTGCTTCAGCTGGTTTTATGTGTTAATACTTTCAGTAGATACTGAGGCCAGGAGGTACCCTTACAATAGTGAATCCTCTCTATAGCACTCCTTGCCTAAACACAGAGCTGAGTACTAGTCTGCTGAGCCCCTCTCACCTCACCTGCCTTTTCTCTATAGAATAATGTAGTTACCTAGCAGCATTCATTGATGTGTCTTGTCACTTCTTTTTTTTTTTTTTGAGTCAGAGTCTGACTCTGTCACCCAGGCTGGAGTGCACTGGTACACTCACGGCTACTGCAGCCTTGATCTCCTGGGCTCAGGCAATCCTTCCACTTCAGCCTTCCAAGTAGCTGGGACATGAGCCACTGCTCATGGTTGATTTGTGACTTTCAAAGCACTTTTAACATCCAGATTTTTATTTTATCTTTGCATGAGCCCTGTGAAGTAGATGGAGAGAAAGTAAAAAAAAAAAACTGCATTTTAAAGATTCAAAATTTAAGTTATTAAAATGTGACTTGCTCAAAACTAGCAAGTAGACTCAAGTTAATGTCAGTAAAACCTTCATGTTTGGGATCAAATGTCGTCCTCTGAGGTCCGCCCTTAACACCCTACGTATAGTCATGTCCCCTGAACAAACATGCCTCCCCCTTACCTTACTTTTTTATTGTACTTATTATCTGCTAGCATACTATTTATTTTTTGTCTCCCTGCCCATAGTAACCCATCTCCACCCTGCAACCACAAGAATGTAACCTCCATGAGGCCGGAGAATAAAGTCTCTTTAGTTCACTGCTCTAACCCAAGAACCTAGAATAGTGTCTAGCACATAATAGGTGCTCAAATGTTTACTGGAAAGAAGTAATGTGGAACTCCTACATTTGGGATTTATCTCTTAGTCACTCAGAATACCACCAATCTCTGTCTGCTTATGTTGTTATATTCAGAGTCTTAGTTTTGCAGCAATGGAGCCTACCTAGTACTAAATAGAAGGAAGCCATAGATTTAGGTTTCCCATCTATTTATGATTCAGAGAACTTCCATAATCGTTGACTATACTTGGGCTTTGACATTTGTGGCACAAGGTTTTACACGGCTGAAATGCAGTGATGCTTTGATGCTTTCATTGGCCAGTGAGCTCACATTATTTTTTCTCCTCTCAGCCTGTGTATGTCTATATCAGCATCAACTGTTTCCTGTTTTATTCTACCTCATTGGTACAACTATAAATAAACTGTATACAAGCTCTGGATAATCTTACCATTTCCAATCCCTGTACCTGTTCCATCTACCTGAACCATTATTCCATCTTTAGCTTCCTGTTAGTTGCACCCAGTTTAATCAGCTTCTTCCCCAGTAAGCTTCCCCAGAGTCACTGGAATGCCCTATTATTCCTTCTACCCCTCTTGCTTTTACATTGCACCTTGTTGATGCCTAATATCTACATGCCTTAGTTTGCCCTAGGGCTTCCCCACTAAACTGATAAACTGAGAGTTCTTGCAAAACAGAGACCATGTTTCATAAAGCTTTTGTCTTCCCCCAGAACTTAGCATGTGCATTTGCATATGTTAGGCACTTACTAAATGCTGGAGAAATTGAACTGGATAGGGAAAGGGGATGTTAAATTCCTAGGCTGGTCTTGAATATTACATGGTTTTAGGACTTGGAGTTTGAGCAGATTGAGGTGCATGCTGATAATTGGTTTGTTCACAGGCAACAACGAGTGACCAAGTCACCAGCACCAGTACACCGAGGGAATTCCTCTTCCCCTGCCCCTGCCGCCTCCATCACAAGCATGGTCAGTGATCTTTCATGACTGAAGAATTTGAAGGCTTCTCCCTGTTTGGTTGTGCCTGTTGTACCACTGCATGCTCCTGAATGTCCTCGAGTGCCATCCACAGGAATAACTGATCTCTAGTAGTCTTTCATACCTCACTCTATTAGGTCTTCCCCTTTTTAGGACAGTCTAACTCTTGAAATCCTAGTGAAGCCCCTACACCGGGGAAAGTATATCCTGGCAGATAGATGAGCATGGGCCAGGGCACACAAGATTATATAGTATGTTCAAACAAATTAACAGTTGGTATATGAGGAGTCAGGAAGACAAAGGTGAGACTGGAGATGAGGCAGATGGGGTGACTGTGGTCAGATTGTGGAGAGTTCAGTGAAATATGCTGGGGAGTTCGCAGATTTGGATTCACTGATTCAGGGTCACAGTAATATGACCTAAGTCTATAGCAGATTTGCTTACGTGTGGTTACAAGTCTAGTTTTATAACTGACTAGCATTACTTTAAAAATATTTCATTCTCTGTTGGGCTCGGTGGCTCAGCCAGTTATCCCACGCTTTGAGAGGCTGAGGTTAGTGGATTGCCTGAGCCCGCAGGTTCAAGACCCACCTGGGCAACTTTGCGAGACCTCATCTCTACAATAAATCAAAAATTTAGCCAGGCATGGTAGCACATGCCTGTAGTTCCAGCTACTTGGAAGGCTTAGGCGGAAGGATCGCCGGAGCCCAGCAGGTCGAGGCTGCGGTGGTTGGTAGCATGCCCCTGCACTCCAATCTGGGCAACAGAGTGAGATTCCAACTCAAAAAATAAAATAAAATAAAAATTTCATTCTCTACAGATCTTTATCATTTAGTCAAAGCTGAAAGACATGAGGGTGAGGAGAACTTCCTGTGTGCTTCAAGACTCCAAGTGGATCTTTGTACCAAATCAACTTGAAGACAGGGTCTGGAAGGAGCTTTTCTGTTCATAAGTCATACCCTGTTTCCCGCCATCAAGGATGTGGATTTGTTTAATGAGAAAAGGCACATGCATAATAAAATCGTCAGAGTCGAAACAGTGAAGAGATAGGAACACATGACTCCAAGTGATTAATCCTAATGGTTAGGAAGACTGTTAAGATAATTGTGACTTTTCTGGCAGCCAAGTTAAGAAGGGAAACTTAGAACTATGGAGTAATTTAGGTTCTAAGGTTGTGTCTGACATTTCGTTTCCCAGAACGACCAGACTATATTTCTGGCCATACTCTTCCCCTCTTCCCGGCCTAATCCCAGGCTGGGAAAGTGTGTGAAGCAGAGACTGCATAGACAGGTACCCATCATCACAGAGTTGAGAGCAGGGGATGTCCCACTTGGGACTCTGCCTATTTGCCCCATTCCTATTTTCCTCCAAAAGCTGTAGACAAGAACATTAGAGTTAGTCTCTACTACCATAATGGCAATATGGGAACTCTACCTTGTTGAGTAGCATAGCCAGTAATCTGGCTTGGTATTAGGGAAAGGTTCTTGAAGAATATGCTAATGCCAGTTGTTTTTCTCTGCAGCTTTCTCCTTCCTTTACCCCTACCTCAGTGATTCGTAAGATGTACGAAAGCAAAGAGAAAAGCAAGGAGGAGCCAGCATCTGGAAAAGCAGCTCTTGGTGAAAATAAAGAGGATACTCAGAAGGCCAGTGAAGGTACTACAGAGTTGTTGAGGGTACTACTCAAGAAAGTACATGATGGAGAGAACACAGGCCCAAGTGCTGACCAGCCTGCCATTCTGTGCAATGCCCTGGGCAAGAAAGACCTCTGGCTTCTCTGGACCTCAGTTCTGTGTCAATGAGAAAGCTGTGTGTGACAATGACAAGTAGACCAGCTCATAGTCTTGTGACTGTGACTTGGCTGCTCGAAATTCTGACCAATCTAAGAGTGCTAGTATCAGACAGGAAGTATAAGCTTTAGAATCCTTTTTTAGACTTCAGAGTTGAATAATTAGTACACTTACTGGCAAATTAACATAGTTCAGATAGTTTTACTTTTTAATGGTTCTCTCCAGCTTGTGGAGACTTTGGTGTCCAATATAGAAAATGTGAGAGCCTTTTAGAAGTTGCATAGTAGGGATTGTGAAGGACATGGCAACAGATTCTAAATTAGGGTTTACACAGGTGTACAGTATTGGTATGAGAGCTTGGTATTAGCCTGTGCTTCTGGAGGTGGGAGGGAAGAAATTCTGTTGGTCCTGTCAACACATTTCAGATTCTTTGACCAGACTATAACTGCTGTTTAAATTTTTTGATGTGCTGGATCTGTATAATTTTATACTTGCTTAATTTTCCTCTTAGACTAAAAAGCATGTTAATCCCAAGCAAGTGATGAGAATGGAACAACCTCCATACAGATACAGGCCACGGCCATTTGGGCAGAGCAGGGTGCCCAACAATTCATCATCTGGTTGTATTTGTAAAGCAAATGATGGTCATTATCATGCAGTCCTCTAAACTTGTTAAGGAAATCAAATAAGAATTGTGAGCCTCTTAAGAAATGAGATTTACTGGACCACTGGTAGGGATCAAAGTTTTGGGAAAGCTTTACCAAAATATTCTTTGGATCCTTACAGAGAACCTTCTGTCATCCAACTCTGTACCCAATGCTGATCAAGACTCTTCTCCCACAACAAATTCCAAATTGTCAACATTACAGAAGTCTTCGTGTTCCACTCCACTGTCACAGATCAACCGATACACCAAAGAACAAGATTACCGACCTAAAGCAACTGGGAGAAAAACACCCACCTTGGCATCCCCAGTTCCAGGAACACCTTTTCTCCGCCCTGTCCATCAAGTTCCCCTCGTCCCCCACGTCCCTATTGTTCGGCCTGCTCACCAGCTTCACCCAGGGTTGGTCCAAAGAATGCTGGCCCAGGGAGTACATCCACAGCATCTTCCAAGTTTGCTCCAAGCTGGTGAGTTTCTGACCTGGCTTGGGTGTCAATCTGTGGACCTGGTGTGACAATTGCTGGCACTGGCAAAGTGATGTACCATAGGTTTTCATTCCTAGAAAGATGTTACTAAATTTTTCCATCTAACTGGTAGACAATAGTCTAATATGTCCCTTCGTCCATTAAAAAATTAGGAACCTAGCCGGGCTCGGTGGCTCAGCCTGTAATCCCACGCCTTTGGGAGGCTGAGGTGAATGGATTGCCTGAGCCCATGGGTTTGAGACCCGCCTGGGCAGCGAGACCTCATCTCTACAATAAATCAAAAACTCAGCCGGGCGTGGTAGCGCATGTCTGTAA